TGAATGAATGAAAATCCATGTTTTTTATAAACTTACAATAAAATATTAATTTAAAAATCCCACAAAACTGCTGGAATACTTCAATGAAAAACTAGAAGTCTTTCATAGGCCATGCTTGGCAAGTTCATAAGAAATGATCTGAAGAAATAAAAATTAAGTTTAAGTCTGAAAGCCTTCAGAGTGACAATAGGAATAAAGTCAACAACCTAGCCCTGTCAGGAAACCCATCTCTAGTATAATCAGGGGTTGCTTTGGCCTTGCTCTGAATTAAAGTAGCACCAAAAGTAGGCTTAAATTAAGCCCATGAAATTGGGTGTGAGAAACTTTATCTAAGCCATCTTCCTCCATCTCCTCTAGTAAATAACACTTCTAAAATGTTTTTCTTTGTAACTCACAAGTTCTCTCTAGGTTGGCTCCCTTTCCTATATGTAACCTGAACACTAAGGTTTGTTCCAGACCCTGAGCCTTGTTCCAGAGATGAGACTCCCCGCTAAAGAAGCAAAGTTCAACCAGCCACTTCCACTGGACTCAACCTCACAAGTCGAAAAATATTCACTCCCCCTTAATTTTCTTTCTATGTTTTATGTTTACAAACAGTTTTTAAACAATGTTTCACATAACTTAAAATTAGTAAAGCAGAACTTGAGCCTTTAATTGTAATGGAAAAGTTCAACAACAAAAGATCCAGCAAGTTTGGAATGGTGCATCAGCATAGTTACTTATATAGTAACTAATCCTGTTCCTGCTTATTAGAATGTCACTAAAGTACTACTGATCTGCTAAATCATGTGAAGTAGGGAAAGCAAATAGCAGCCTATATCACTCCTTTGCTTCCTGATGTTTGTCTTCTAATTTATGTCTGCATTCCCTGTTTACTAGAGATCTTGCAGTCCAGAGGTCAGAGAACGCCATAAGAATATTTTTCTAACTGAACTAGAAGGCATGCGGCTTGAACTCAAAACCACTAATGAAAAGTTAAAGTGGACCCCCAGTCCCCCTCTATCTCAACAACCCAGTTCAGCATGAAGTAGCCAGAGAATCTGCACCCCCATTCCCAAATGGGGAGCCCACAAATAACTCCCCCAAGAATCAACCCTGATGTTTGTCTTATAAGACTTATATAAAAAGAGGGGGGAATTAATAAGTTCAGAATTCTCTATATAGGTATCAGTTATAAAACTATAGTTATTTTCCTTCAGCCTGCAAAACTAGTTGCTTAGCCTCCAATTCTCTGTTTCCTGTCTTCAGTCATGTAGAATAGTTTGATCTGTCTGTTTACCAGAAGAGGAAATGCATCTATCCTAGATGCTGGTGAAGCTGGTTCTCCAGTCATATGTAAACAGTATGTTAATCTGCCTGTTTACCAGGAAGAGAACTGGGACCTTCCTGAATTATTGATACATAGATAGGAAATGTCCTTTTCAGATGTAGAAATTACCTTTTCTTACTAACAAAAGTAT